GAAATACGCCGCAAGCTACGTTATCTCCTGCTGCCTGTGGGCCTGCCTCGTGCTCCCCCGCCTGCAAAACCTAACGAGGAAGCCACCCCAAAAGTAGCTGCAAGTGCAAAGGGTGCCAGCGTGTTACGACGAGCCAGGCTTCGAGCAGCCTCAGGTGGCAAGCGTTGCGCTTCGTTGCCGAGTGCCGGGCTATGAGGCTGCCTGCGTACCACGCGGTCAGCAGCAGCACGCTCGACGACCCGTCAGAAGAACCAGATTCAAACACAGAAAACCTCAAGCTCAGATGGGCGTCAGCAGAGCATTGTCGCCCCTTTCACATCACTAAAGCCATTTCGCAAAATAACCTCCCAGTTTTTTTTTTTTTTTTCTGAACTGTTTTATTGGTAGTAAACACCCGGGAATCTCACACGTGTATTTCTCATTGCCCATAGTAAGCTCTTCCTTACTGATGTGTTTCTGCCATGCCAAAACTGAGACGATTGCAATTGCATTCCCCAGTATTTTACAGCACTGCAGTAGCCTCTCCAAACAGGAAAGAGCGAGCAGGATAAAAGGGATTTTCACTTACCAGTTTTCTTTTAAACAAATGTATTTATGTATTCTTAAAATGCCAGTTGGTTGGTTAAAAGTAGTAACTTCAATGTAAAAGGTTCAAAGCAAATGATAATAAAAATACGTGGAGAGCGCAATGATGCAAAGGACTGTTGCGACTTTAGCAGCAACAGAGTATTTTCTCTGAATAAAAAAAAGCTGCAGCTGGTAATAGCGTTCTGTTTTTATTAGTAAAACCAAAACTCGGTGCCAGCTCAAGGGAAAACATGGAGGAGCAGCACATCTGGCTGCTACCGATGAGTTTCTTTTCACAAAAGAGAGAATCACCTAGTGGAAACCATTTTGCTAAATTTTTTTCTGCGCTCCCTTCCAGCTCCTTTTGTTGTAATAATGCCTTGCAGATTTGCCCCAGCTGCATAACTTTAAAAAGTCAAGCCAGATACCTTAGAGAATTCTGTCCTGCACGGGGCCACCGAAAAGCCACCCAGCAGCTTGAACCTTTGAGCTTTGCTGCCACCAGCTGCTGTTAACAATGACCCAGGGAACCACGCTGCACCACGCTGCACCTGACCGAAAAAAAGAGCTGGAAACCTTAGTACCCCCCTGTGGCAATCACAGCTGCACACCTGGGCTTTTCGCCGATAATAATTTGGGGAGCTCTTTGTTGTTGTGAAAAGCATCTCTCATATGAAGTACCCCCTACTTCCATTTGAGGAGGTGTTTCATCTTAAAGCTCAGACGATCCAGGGTTTCACAAACATTGGTGCTGGCTGCAGCTGCATCGGTCAGACCCGGCACTGCCACCATGAAATAAAGGCTCAAAACCTTTTCCTGTTGTGCTTCAGTTTTTCAAACACAAGTGAAAGAGCTTTCAAAAAGGTGTCCCCAGATCAAGTTCTGAGGGTTTCCAGTGTGGTCACCAGCACGCTGTTTCTGCTGCCAGAGCCCCCCCCCCAAGCCAGATTTCCTCCTCTCAACCTCCCTGCTGTGGCCCACACTCGTAACGCCCGTTACCCTGCAAAGACGGTTGGGCTAACGGCAGCAGAAATGGACAGGCCCAAGGGCCTAGGCTGATCACATTTTGCTGGTTTTACCTTCTTGACGATTCTGCTCTAAGGGTGGGGCTGTGACATTTGGGTGACGCCCTGGGGATCAGTTTTGTTTCACGCCAATGGGAATGATGCCTCCATAGGAGCTGCAGCATTGGCCCTCTATCTTATAAAAGCAATGTGTCTTACGTTATCTTTTTCATGTACCAAAGACAGGGCTCTTAAGGACAGCGTTTCAGCAAGCAATCACTGCGTTAAAACCTTAAGAAAATCCCAGAGCACACACTATACATTTAAATGTTAGTTTAAGTTAAAGTCTTTGGGAACACATTGATTCTAAATTGCTGTTTAAAATCTGGGTGTTTAAGGCTTTTCATTTCTATCACTTCATGCCAGTCAGCAGCCCCAACAGAGAAGGTAAATGAAATAAATCAACTGCTCCTGGAATCAACAGACACAGTAAAATCTTTTGTGTCGTACCTTAATTCAGATATATGCACATTTGATACACATCTTTGAGTTTCTCATTTTCACTTAGGTTTCATCTATTGCTCTTGTCAAGTCTACTTTGACCATATGAGTAGTAGGAGATGATCCTCCTCGGAGACCTTCCAAGAAAATCTGTGGTCTGGGTACATTGCTTGAGTTGTCACGCTTGGTCTGGGTGCTAACATCTTTTGGCAAGTACACTTGGGTGGAGTTCTCTCTTCTCATGTGGCTGCGATCAGTCTGCATGGCATGAGTTAATTTGCGGCGCAAATTGGCCTAAAGATACAAAAAGAATCAGATTAAGCAAAATTTTGTTTGCACGTTTTAGCACTAGTGTACGCTTAGGTGGGTTATCTATAGTTTACACCTATAGGCTTCACAAACTTGGAGCAAGGCTCACCTCACCCCACTGTGAATACACAGTTGCAACTGTGATTTGGTAACTCTTGAACTAGCAGGATGTGTGAACAGCACCGTATGTAGCCCACACTATTTCACGTCAGCCTCTTACTGCTGTTGGGTTTTTCTTGGGTCACGGCTCTTATGAGGACAGGCTGAGAGAGTTGGGCTTGTTCAGCCTGGAGAAGAGAAGGCTGCGGGGAGACCTGATTGCGGCCTTTCAGTACCTAAAGGGGGCCTACAGGAAAGACGGGGAAAATCTTTTTAGTAGGGCCAGCAGTGACAAGACAAGGGGTAATGGTTTTAAACTAAACCAGGGTAGGTTTAGACTGGATCTAAGGAAGAAATTATTCACAATGAGGGTGGTGAAACACTGGAACAGGTTTCACCCAGAGAGGCAGTGGAGGCCCCATCCCTGGAAACATTCGAGGCCAGGTTGGATGGGGCTCTGATCAACCTGATCTAGTTAGCGGTGTCCCTGCTCACTGCAGGGGGGTTGGACTAGATGACCTCTAGGGGTCCCTTCTAACCCAAAACATTCTATGATTCTATGATATGGTTCACTTCAAATTTTGTTAAAAGCCAGAGTCTTTGTTTTGTTAGAATGAAATGTTGTTTTCGTGGTAAACTCTTCCAGCGCTTCAAATTCATGTCAATCAGTCTGAATGGGATGGCAGGCAGATAAATAAATCTCTTTGGGCACCTGAAACCTAAAACAAGCTTGAGTATCCCAAATATTGTGGGTAAACAAACTACAGGATCCAAACTTTGTCTGGTTTCAAACCAAATGTGATGAGGTTTAGGTGTTGGTGTCACACCCAATAAAAGGGGAGGAATGCCTTCTTTCAAGACATTGCTTACTAACCCCTTGGAAAGGGGCAAAAGGTAAAGTAATTTATGAATAAAGCTCTGTTTAATCACAGAAACTGCTGTAGATACAACAACAAAACCACTGCTCACAAAGTGTTAATGTCACAAAGTCAGTGCTTGAAACAACAAAACGTTCCTTATTCCAGCAAGCCTGTCAGCGATGACGTAAAACACTGCAAATCATATAACATAATGTTGTCATTGAAATAGACAAAATCCAGTCTCCTGTGGTGGGGTTCAGACCCCTACATGTAAGTGAGAAGATCCCTGGAGTCCAGTCCAGTCAGCAGAGACTGGAGTCGGTGGAAGCTGGAGAGCGATTAAGTTGGCCAAATTTGGTGTTTGTATCAGCACGAGTCAAAATATTCTCCAGATTCCACTAGCCAGGTCTCTATCAGCTGGAATGGCAGTTGAAGCACCTATATGTAGACACATTTTGATATCTTAATCTACAACTGAATGTCATGCACAGTGTCATCAAGGAAAATATAGAAAAGAACAATAAGGAATTTACAGAAGAGCTGGCATGGAAAGAAAGACAATATTTTAGCCTTTTTTTCTGAGGGTTTTAATGGCAACTAAAACAAGAGCAGGCACAAGATACTGTGTCTCTGTTAAGTTTATCCCTTTTGAAAACTGAATGTATGCTATTGTAAGGAACTATGCTTGCACAGAGAAGCAAATGTGACCTGAAAATTTTACTTCTAACATCAAATAGAGGTGCTAACTATGAACCACAGAAAAAAAACCCAAAGCATCTGAGCTCATACACTAACAAAACCTGCAAATATGTCCGATACTCCCCTAAAAGTATCAACTTCACAGATGCATTGGTAAACTATTTCTGTTATTTTAGCACTTTGATTCTAAATGTTGTATCACCTCCATATTACAAATTCAGCATAGTCATTGTAGACAAAACACTTCTGCATGCATCTGGGATTTTTTGTTTCAACTCAGCATCACTGATCTCCCATCTGGACAGTTGAGGCTAAAACACCCTTAGTACTTTAAAGTACTGTCTCCAAGTATTTCAAACTAATGAGCTACAAATTTGCTTGTGAATGGTTTCATGCTCAGCTATTGGAACATATCACCTTATTGCTTATATTGCTTATATTAAAGATAAACCAATGACCACATCTTGCATTTATTTATGTACTTTTGACCATTAAAGAAGCAAAGGAGGCTTTTAGCCAGGCCCCTTGTATACATAATTAGCTCTTTATACACCTCAGTAACAACTATTAGAATCCTTTATAAGCCACTTAACACTGGCAAGACTTCTCTGTCCAAAATTTTGGTTTCCTTTTATAGCGCTGGAGCTTTCATGGCAAAAGGAAAGGAAACGGGCTGCACGGCAGACCACAGGCCTCCCCAGCGCATCTGTTCACAGGAAAAAGAAGATCAGCCCTGCAGGACTCTGTGTCCAGTGGATATCGGTAACTGCAATATTCCTTCTACTCACAAGTTCATTTTGACTGAGTTGTGAGAATCAGGTGCTATAACTTGACAACTGCATGTGCCAGCAAACCATAGAAAGAAGCTTTTTAAATACATGCTGTTACTTTAAAAGCTTTCATGTGTGTGGCTAACCTTCTGTGGACAGACTGTGACTTCCAATCCATCAGAAAATGATCATGACAGCATAACAAACATTTCCCCTGGATTATATGTACAACACAAAACCTGCTTGCTCTGTTTCTTATCTCTCCAGATTGGTCCCACATGAAAGTGGGAATTTTTTTTCTTTTTTCCCCCCAAAAATCAGAATTGATTTTAGCAAACATAAAGAATCAGAATAAAATGAAAAATATTTCACTATGCAAAAAAAAAAAAAAGCAAAAAAAAAAAAGCCTCATGCTTTGATACATTCCAAGGATGGGTAAGTTAGCTCAAAGAAAGCTTCTGCAGGGTCAACCACATCTAAAGGTATTCCTAACCATTCTGTCTGCCAGTTACTACATTTTTCCTCTTCTTACATGATGGTGATTGTATTAATACAAATTGCTCAACTTGCAGTAGTTCTGCCTGACCCAAACCTTTCTGCAACTTTTTTTTTACAAAGAAAATATATAGCATTATCTTCAGACTGTTACATTTATTTGAGTGTAGAGAAGCAACTTAAAAATCCAATGCTAATCAACGCTCATTACTTAAAGAAGGCAAATGAAAAATTTGTGACAAATGGACACGGCAGTGGAAGCACTGCTCAAAAAATTGGAGAAAAACATGGAAAAAGTGGGAGAATAATAAAGTCTAGAAATACGGACAGAAAATACCTGGAAAAAAACTAGTGAGCCAGTTGTAACAGAAGTGTGCATCTTTGAATAAGGTTAGGTTTATGTTGCAAGGAACAAAAGTTTACAATAATTTATTCTGTACTTTGTTATCCAACAACAAAAATCTGGTAATAACAATACAAACCAATTTTATAGCTTTTCTTCTCAGCTCCCATTCATTCCATTCATAGGACGTCACAATAGTTGGAGGCAAGATATGAGTATCAGTTTGAGTACTACTGTCACATTTTGTGGTTGGTTTCATCAAATATTCGTCTGCATTTCTGGCCTGGATGAAAAAAAAACCAAAACCAAACAAGGCATTAATGAGAAGAATACAGACATCTACAGACAGCATATGGATGTGCTACTTTTTAAAAGCAAATAAAAACCTGCAAACCGCAAGTGGATAATGATTTTTACATTAAAAATATTCTTGTTCCTCCTGGCCCTGCTAAAAAAGAAGAAACCATTAAGTATTCGATGGATTTAATTTCTGACAGAAATCGATTTAGGCAGAGGTCACAGCTGAATTTCAGACTCCGACATCCCATGTGAGTGCTTTAATCACTGGATTTTGATAAAAGGGGATCCCACCACCCCCACCAGTATTTTATGATGCAGGCACCTCAGTTTATCTTTACGAATGGACTAAAAATCACAGATCATAATTAGGAGAAGTGCTTACATCTTTGCCAGAGCTGGGATATAAACCATATCTTTCTCACCAAGGGCCAGTTCAAGACTACATGGTTTGCATTGCTAGGGACCTAGAATTCACAAGTTATCACAGGGAATGTCTATGAATCCAAATCAAGTCTTTGGATTTCACAAAGTTGCACTGATGCATTCAAGATTAATGAGCCCCCTTTTGTTTTGTAATATATTCCATAATTCCTGTCCCCAGGAATACACCCTCATCCAGCACATACTGATGAACTGCTGAGCTAATGCTTGAGTTAATGTGGTATCTGGCTTATCTTCTATTGCATTTATCTACTGTCCTTTAAACTACTTCTGCAAAAAAGAGGGAAAGAAACATCAGACACGGGATCTTCCTAGGCTAAGGATGAACAGCTTTTATCCCTGCCACAATCCTTTGGCTCTACATATTCCCCTAGGAAGAGAGAAGGTAAGAACAACATTAAAGGACAATGTTTCTTATCAACACCCTGAAAACCTGGAAATGATGGACCTTCAGACATTCTTATGACAGGCAGATGATTATCATGCCCATAAATATGGGTATCATCTGTTCTCTTTATGTTCTAGAAAGGACAGACCAGCCAGTGCACCA